GGCAGATTGCCGAGCTGGAGGATACCCGAGCCAAGGTCACGCAGCAGGCGATCCAGCGGGCCAACGCGGCCGTCGGAGGTGTTCCGAGCCCGCTCGGGGACGCAGTCCAAGGGCTGCTCACTCAGGTCGGCGCCCTGTCGGATCTCCTCAAGCAGCACGGGTCGGAGCTGCCCCCGAGGTTTTCCGAGATCGTCGGGATTCTCAACACGCAGAAGGAGGCGGTCGCCGAAGTGCTCAGGCCCCGCAGCAGCTCGGCCACGACGCGTTGGGGCGACAGCGTCGGGGACGACGGCCTCGCGACCGACGATGACGTCATGCCGCTCGGCATCGTGGCCTCTGGGGGGCCAGCGGCCGCCCCGCCCTCTGCTGCCCCGCAGGCAGGGCCTACCGCGGCTGGGCCGCCAGGCCCGCGGGCCAGGTCAGTGGACGGGCCCTACGGCCCTGCTGCGGCCCGCGGCCAGCACGGGGCGACCCTGGGCACGTGGCCTCAGGTGGAGCCGTGCCTCGCCAAGGCCCTCGCCGAGCAAGGGGCGGCCCTCGCGGACAGCGACCCCCTGGTGGCTGCGGGTGCTGTGGCTGCTCCTGCTGCTGGATACGGGCCGCGCCGTGGGTGAGGCGAGAGCGTTGGAGTGGGCAGCTTCCACCGCCGACATCGACGTCTGGGACAGCGGTGCGCCCTTCCTTCAGGACGTGCGAGGGCCCAGCTGCTGGGACAGGTGGAGGAGGCGCTGTGGTGGCTGCTGGCGCACCCGCGGCCATCGCAAGCGGCGGGCGGCGCCGCGCACCCCTGCCCGAGGTAGCCAACTGGCGCGGTCGGGAACACCGAGGTGGCCCCCCGACGGCCAGTCAGGGGCCGTGAGCGGTGGGATTCAGCCCCACGACGTCGCAGCTCTCGGCCCCGTTGGTGATGGGCAGGGTCACCCCCCGCTGGCAACCGGAGGGGTCGAGGGACGGCCTCCTCCTCAGCGGTGGCCACCTCCCGCGCAGGCCAGCGGCCCGCCCTCGCCGATGAGGAGCGCTGGAGCGTGGGGCCAGGTCCCCCCTCCAGTCCTGGTGGGGGCGGAGGGTCCCGCGACCAGGGGCTCGGCGTCCTCTGCGTCGTGCGCTGGGCAGCGTGCAGTCCGCGTGGCGGCCGTCAGGGGCAAGGCGCCGATGGTGGACAGGGGGGGAGGCCAGCTGCTAAGAGCTGGCCTCGTCCCCCTCGGCTGCAATGGCAACACTTGGAACAGGAGCATTGAGGTCATAGAGGCCTTCTCCAAGACGTGCCACTACTGGCGCGACGTGGTGGCGCGGCAGGAGACGAGGCCATCGCATGTGCGCCTGCCCAGTGCAGCGGCTCAGGCCCGCGGCCTGGGCTACGCGGCAGTCCTCCCCGAGGCAGCGCTGTCGGACAAGCAGGGGCCCCAGGTGACCTCAGGCGGGGCGGCGGTCCTGGTGCGAGACGGCGTGCAGGCCGACGAGTCGGAGTTCTCGCTGCCCTCCGCCTTGCGGCACCGCCTTCGCTGTGGGGAGGGAGCCTCCGCCTCGGGCCCGCAGTCCCTGGCGGTCTCTGAGTTTGTCCAGCACCCTGCGGGCCCGCGAGTCACCGACCTGGTCCTGTTTTCGGCCTTCTCGGAGGTGACGGGCCTCTCTGCCGACATCCTGTGGGTCCTCCAAGCCGTCTTCAACATGGAGCCCGAGCCCCTCGTGGAGTTGGGATGGCAGTGGCGGTGCGGGGACACTTCCTGGAGCCCTCGGAAGCGACGTGCCATGCCGAGGGCGGCGACCACCCCTCCGAATGGTTCGAGGCTTCATCGGCGTTGGCAGCCTGCGCGGCCTCCTGCGCCACCACGCGCGAGCGCTTCGGTGCGCGCCCGCATAGCCCCGCCCTGCTTCGCCTCCAGGATGTCTGCTCGCTTCCTGGGCCCGCGTGTGGAGGAGATCCTCATCGGCTGTGCGTCTATGGTCAGCTGTCTCACGTTGGGCAAGAGGCACGCAACGGCAGCCAGCAGGCCCAATGCCCTTCTCTGGGAGGGGTTCTACGCCTCGCTGGACGTGGACACGCTCAAGGCGACCCCGGCCGCAGCTCACTGTACCGCCAGTGACGTGCTGGACAGCAAGGTCACGGTGGCCCACCTCAGCGGCAACGGTCTTGCCGACAGCTGGGCCAAGGCAGGTGCGGAGCGGCACCGAGCCAGTGCGGTGGCCAGGCGTGGGCTCTTCGGCACGATGGAAGTGGTGATTGAGCTCTCAGGCGGGGAGGCGCAAGTCTCCCTCATCTGGCAGTGGATTGCCCTCGACAGGTGCGGAGTCGGCGCGGCCAAGCAGGAGCTGATGGCGGGCACCCACTGCGGGGCGTATGCGAGGCTTGGCGGGAGCAGAGGTGCGGCGCCCAAGCTCAAGGAGCTATGGCCTGGCGCTGAGGCGGCTCGGCCTGAGCCAGCGCGGCCGAGGCGCAGCATCGCGCCCAGGCTTGAGCGGCAGCTCGCTGTATGGGCGCGCTTCTGGACCCAGACCCCCGAGGTTGGCGAAACGATGGAATGCTACAGCGAGTGGATGGACCACTGCGTCGGCTACGTCACGCAGATCCTGTCCCAGCCGCGCTTCGCCTCCAGGCTGCGGGCGCGTGGGAGGACGGCCGTCGAGTTAGCCGAAGAGATCTGCGAGCGGGCCTGGGGGACTGGCATGCCTGCGAGGAGGGCCTACTACAGGTGGCGCCACACGCTGACGCGGTCGCAGATGATCGTGTCGGACTGCATACGGCGCTACGAGTACGTCTGCCTGCGGACGTGGATGGCCGAGCTGCAGCGGGAAGGGCAGCCCCCGCCCATTGGCCCGCTCAGAGCGCCCATTGGCCCATTGCCGTGGAATGCGGGACGCAGGAGGCGACGAAGAAGTGGTTGATGTCGGCCTCCCTGGCACGCCCCACAGCGGCAGCAAAAGGGTCGGCTCGACTGCACCCTGCCTTCGCAAGGAGGAAGTGGTGCCGGTGGCGCGGGTGCGCTTCCTTCAGTGGGGGCCCGCCCCGTGCACGCCCCTTGCGGCAGACCGCTGGCGACGGCAGTGGGCCCCCCAGCGGCGCGGCGGCGGCTGCAGAGGCGGCGGCGGAGCCGCTGGCGCCTGGCCCCGCGGGGGCCACGGGGTGAAGGCTGGCTTGCGCTTTCGGCCTTGTGAGGCGAGCCTCCATGAGCGGTCTGCCGCGGATGGGTTGGCGCGCGTGGGCAGGCCTGAGGCGCCGCCGCGCCGACGGTGACGGTGGGGTGCGATGCAGCATCTTCCTCCCTTCTGTTGTGTCCGCCCCCCGTCATCCTTTTCCTTTCTGTGCGTGAGGCAGCTCTTCTGCCCTTGGCGCACTCGCAGCGTGGGGGGCCTGTTGGGCGCGCGTACGCGCCGCTGCCTCTGCTGCCTTCTTGATTTCTTTGAAATCTTGCGCTTCGCGCGTCTGGCGCTCCGCGCCCCCCTCCCTGCGGAGGCCCCTTTCGGGCCCCCAGGGCTGGCCCTTGAGGCCCTGGGGCCAATGCGCTCCGCGGGCCTCGGGCTTCCTTTAGCCTTCATAGGCCCCGCACGACGCGACACGACACAGGAGCACGGCAGACCACACAGGAGCACGGCAGACCCCACAGTAGGACACGGCAGACCCCAAAGGAGCACGGCAGACCACCGGAGCACGGCAGACCACACAGGAGTACGGCAGACCCCACATGAGCACGGCAAATCCCAAATGAGCACGGCAGACCACAAGAGCACGGCAGACCACACAGGAGCACGGCAGACTCCACAGGAGCACGGCAGAACACAAAGGAGCACGGCAGACCACACAGGAGCCCGGCAGACGCCACAGGAGCACGGCAGACGCCACAGGAGCACGGCGGAACCCACAGGAGCACGGCAGACCGCGCGCGGGTACAACATAAACGCGCCTTTTGTTGTACCCCGAACGCCGCTGGCGTTTCCCCAACAGGAGCACGGCAGATCTCACAGGCGCGCGGCAGACCCCAAATGAGCACGGCCGACCACAGGAGCACGGCAGACCCCAAATGAGTACGGCAGACCCCAAAAGAGCACCGTAGACGCCTCAGGAGCACGGCAGACCACACAGGAGCACGGCAGACCACACAGGAGCGCGGCAAACCACAAAGGAGCAAGGCAGACACCAAATGAGCACGGCAGTCCACACGTTCGCACGGCAGACCGCACAGGAGCACGGCAGACCCCACATGAACACGGCAGACCAAGAAGGAGCACGGCAGACCACACAAGAGCACGGCAGACCACACAGGAGCACGGCAGACCACACAGGACACGGCAGACCCCACGGGAGCACGGCAGACCACACAGGAGCACGGCAAACCACACAAGAGCACGGCAGACCATACAGGAGCACGCCAGACCACACAGGCACGGCAGACCACACGTTCGCACGGCAAACTCCACAGGAGCACGGCAGACCCCAAAGGAGCACTGCAGTGGTACGTGGCACTGCTGTGGTATGCCGTACTAAAAACGTGGAATATCTCATAAGCCCAGGGGACAAAAGCACGCTTCCCGTTCTTGTCCGGTCAGGTTCCCCAAAATGGCCATTTCGCTCGAGACATCCTCGAAAAATCGAGGTGTTGGAGGCTATCGCTTAAGACGTCTTATGTCAAAAATGACGGTTTCGCTCGAGACATCCTCAAAAAATCGGGATGTTGAAAAATATCAAAAATTTTTTGTTATGCATGAAAAATGAGCGTTTCGCTCGAGACATCCTCGAAAAAATGAGATGCCGACAGAGGTGTTTTACAACCTCTTATGTTAAAAATGACGTTTTCGCTAGGGACGTCCTCAGAACATGAGCAGGAGCACGGCAGGCGGAAAAAAAGGAGCACGGCAGACCACACAAGAGCACGGCAGACCCCACAAGAGCACGGCAGACCCCACAGGAGCACGGCAGACCCCACAGGAGCACGGCAGAGCAGACCCAAAAGGAGCACGGCAGACCACACAGGAGCAAGGCAAACCACAGGAGCACGGCGTTCCGTAGCCATTTTGGCTCAAGCCGCCCAGGGCGCGCGCGCTTGGGATCGATGGCGCGGGCGGAGTCGCCTCCTGGCGATTCCCATCTGGCGAGGCCGCGGCGCTCACGTGCTGAGCGCACGGCGGCGAGGAGGAGGGCCCTGGCCTCCTGCGACAAAGGGCTGGCGGCTGCCTGCGCGCGGATCCGCGAGCTCGAGGGGCAGCTGGACCAGGCCCGCCACGTTGCTCGCGACAGGATGGAGGCGGAGGCGGCGGCCGCGTCGGCTGCTGCGGCGCTTCGCCCCTCGGTCGAGCTCCGCGATGCCCTCACGGGGCGGTTGGTGCAGCTTGGCCAAGCGCTGCTGCTCCACCATCGCGCAGACGCGGCCCTCGGCATGCATCATCATCGGCTTGGGGACGCCCTGCGAGCCGTTGCCCAGTCGCTGGACCTCGGGCCCGAGTTCCTGAAGCTCGGCATGTTGGTCAAGGGCGACGGCGACCGTGCTCGGCATGAACCCCTTCTGCCGAGGCCGCTCGATGTGCCGAAGGCGGCCGTGGACATCCAGATCGAGGTCTGCGTGGCCGAGCCTCCCTCGCGGATCCTGCTGGCGCAGTGCGCGGGGCAGGCCGCGGCCGCCCAGCTCCGCAGGGGCGCGGCGCCTTTCTGGCCTCTGCGGCCCCCTGGCCGCTGGGCAGCAGGCGGAGGGGACGTGTGCGACCTTGCCTTCGCGGCGGATGCGTGGCCCGGCCTCGTCTGCACTTGCGGGGCAGTGGTCTTCTCCTCGTGTGATTTGTTGAGTGTGAGCGGGCCTCCTTGCCAGGAGGCGCCCGCAGAGAGCCCCCTGGCGAGCGGTACTGCTTGCGCTGCGACGCCGCTGCCGGGTCTGGAGCGCCAGGAGGCCCCCGCAAGCTGTCCGGCTGTCCTCCTCGGCAACGGGTTCACCGACAGCGTCAGCGACGGCGAGGGCAGCAACGGTGGCGACGTGCGAGACCTGGGAGCTGATGCTGCCACGGCATGCTCCCTCTCTCTCCCCGGCGCCGCCTCGGCGCCCAGCGCGGCCGTCTTGGACTTCCTGGACCGGTACGATGGTGCCCTCCTGCGGGGGGGCGGAAGCGGTGGCTCCGCCGCGCCTGCTGCAGGCGTGGGCGAAGCGTACTCCCTCTTCCTCGACCCCGTCGACCTCGGCACCATGGAAGCGGTGGCCTGGGGGCCTTACGCTGCGGTTGGCGCGCTGCTTGACCTAGCCGAGGCTCGGGCTGGGCTGCCGCCGCTCAGGCAGACCATTTCCGTGGATGAGTGATTGCTGGTGTTCGGCCTTGGCAGCGCTGTCGTTCTCTCCTTTGGAATTGTCCTGCCTTTGTGATGTTTTTGTGGCTGCGGGAATTGGGATGCGCGCTGGACCGCACTGTCGGGTGCTCTCGTAATGTTGTGTCAGGCGTTATTCTTTGCCCGTGCGCCTCAACGCTTTTGGTGGATTGAAGTGATCGTGAGGCGGCATTGTTCTGTGGTTCTGATGTGTAAGGCCTTCTCATGCTTGTGGAGCCTGCTTGAGGCAGGACATCGTGAGTCAGGCAGGTGGGCATGCATGTTCGGCTGTTGCCATGCGTGTGTGTTTCCCGTTCCCTGCACATTGTTGTGATTGTGAGGCGGCATTGTTCTGTTGATCTGATGTGTAAGGCCTTCTTTCGCATGCGGAGCCTGCTGGATGCAGGACATCGTGAGTGAGGCAGGTGGGCATGCATGTTCGGCTGTCGCAATGCGTGTGTGTTTCCCGTTTCCTGCACCTTTGTTTTTGGTTTCTTTGATTTCTTGCGCTTCGCGCGTCTGGCGCTTCGCGCCCTCCCCTGCGGTGGCTCCTTCGGAGCCCCTAGGGTTGGCCCTTGAGGCCCTGGGGCCAACGGGCTCCGTGGGCCTCGGGCTCCTTTTGCCTTCATAGGCCCCGCAGCTCACAGCTCACAGGAGCACGGCAGACCACGCAGGAGCACGGCAGACCCCACAGTAGCAAGGCAGACCCCAAAGGAGCACGGCAGACCACCGGAGCACGGCAGACCACACAGGAGTACGGCAGACCCCACATGAGCACGGCGAATCCCAAATGAGCACGGCAGACCACAAGAGCACGGCAGACCACACAGGAGCACGGCAGACTCCACAGGAGCACGGCAGACCACAAAGGAGCACGGCAGACCACACAGGAGCCCGGCAGACGCCACAGGAGCACGGCAGACGCCACAGGACCACGGCGGAACCCACAGGAGCACGGCAGACCGCGCGCGGGTACAACATAAACGCGCCTTTTTGTTGTACCCCGAACGCGGCTGGCGTTTCCCCAACAGGAGCACGGCAGATCTCACAGGCGCGCGGCAGACCCCAAATGAGCACGGCCGACCACAGGAGCACGGCAGACCCCAAATGAGTACGTAGGACGCCTCAGGAGCCGGCTGACCACACAGGAGCAAACGGCAGACCACACGGGGAGCGCGGCAACCACAGGAGCAAGGCAGAACCCCAAATGAGCACGGCAGTCCACACGTTCGCACGGGGCAGAACCGCACAGGAGCACGGCAGACCCCACATGGGCACGGCAGACCAAGAAGGAGCACGGCAGACCACACAGGAGCACGGCAGACCACACAGGAGCACGGCAGACCACACAGGACACGGCAGACCCCACGGAAGCACGGCAGACCACACAGGAGCACGGCAAACCACACCAGAGCACGGCAGACCATACAGGAGCACGCCAGACCACACAGGAGCACGGCAGACCACACGTTCGCACGGCAAACTCCACAGGAGCACGGCAGACCCCAAGGAGCACGGCAGGTACCAACAGGACACGGCAGACCGCCACGGAGCACGGCAGACCACACAGAGACACGGCAACCAAGAAGGGCACGGCAGACCACAGAGCACCGAGACGCCACAGAAGCACCAGGAGCACGGCGACCACACAGGAGCACGGTAAGACCCCACACGAGCACAGCAGAACCACGTAGCACGGCGAGAACCACAGGATGACGGGCAGAACCCACTTTGGAGGATGCTCGAGCCAAACGCTTACTTTTGATAAACTCGATGTCGACGGACAAACAAAAGACAAGACAGGCTGGAACAGAAAAAGTAGGCTGGGCGACAACGGGTGGGGGCCCGCGTGGCCGAGAGACAAGCACGGTGTCGACGCCATGATGTGGCCAGGGCAGCAGACCGCCTCGACAGACCAGCGCGGCGGGCCATCATTTAGTCTGTTCTGTTGCGTTTATGGGTTTCTCTGACGTTCTCGCCAATACGGTCTCTGACGCGCGTGGTGGATAAAAAACGGCGCTTCCCGTTCTTGTCCGGTCCGGTTTCAATTGTGAGGACGAAGGCCATTTTTCGCCACCCCTCACGCAGATCGTGCTCTTGGAATTTTACTGCCGTTAAGGAAACCTCGATATTTCACAGGTGAAATCCGCTTTTTCCCGGAAAGGGCGTGGGCCCAGGGTTCTCTTTTAGTTTGTAAACTTAATCCCCCGGTGCCTGCTTGAAGGAGGCCGGCGAATTGCCGGCGAATTTTTTCCCTGATAAATAACGAGGTCGAAGGAGGCCGGCGAATTAAAATTTGAGGATGTCTCGAGCGAAACGCTTGTTTTTGAAATCCCGATCGATAAATCACAGGGTGCGGGCCACTTTTTCGTGTTTTGAGGATGTCTCGAGCGAAACGCTTGCTCCGCAGAGTTTGCCGAGGATGTCTCGAGCGAAACGCTTGTTTTGCAGAGCCGACCGCGACGCGGAAAAGCGCCCCGCGCTAAGGAATTTCGATGATGTCTCGACTAATTCCTTTGTTTTTGTACGATTTCCTGGAATTTTGGCAGGATGTCTCGAGCGAAATGCACGACCCCACCCTAGCACGACCATACCCCAGCACGACCACACCCCAGCACGACCAGACCCCAGCACGACCCCACCCCAGCACGACCCCCCCCCAGCACGACCATACCCCAGCACGACCACACCCCAGCACGACCCGACCCCAGCACGACCCTACCCCAGCAAGACCACACCACAGCACGACCACACCCCAGCACGACCTCACCACAGCACGACCACACCCCAGCACGACCACGCCCCAGCACGACCACGCCCCAGCACGACCACGCCCCAACACGACCACCCCCCAGCACGACCACCCCCCCAGCACGACCACCCTCCAGCACGACCACCCCCCAGCACGACCACACCCCAGCACGATCACTCCCCAGCACGACCACACCCCAGCACGACCACACCCCAGCACGACCACACCCAGTCGCACCCCCGTGGAATGTTTCGTGGCGTGTCTGGTTGAGTGGTTGCCTGTTCGTGGGGTCTCTCGTGGAATGTTTCACGGGGTGTCTCGTGGAATGTTTCGTGAGGTGTCTCGTGGAATGTTTCGTGAGGTGTCTCGTGGGATGTTTCGCGGGGTGTCTCGTGGGATGTTTCGTGAGATGTCGCCCAGTTGGGTATCGTGAAAACGTGACCATGCTGCACATGTCTTTATCCCTTTCCGGGTTCGTGGGTCCATCATGTTCCGGCATCGACTTTAAACGATAAAAAACAAGGTAAACGCGTTCGCTCGATAAATAACGAGGTGCCGCGGCCTCCGGAACGGCGCTGGGAACGGAGTTGTGGATTCTTGAAGTTGCATAAGTTCGGAAATAGCAGAAATCCCATATGTTTTTGGACCCTGACCCCGCGGATCTGCGTGAGGGGTGGCACCGAATTTCAGAAATGTGGCAAATCCCCTGGCTCCCAGCACCGTTGCCAGCAGCCCTCGAAAGCCCATTGCCATTGCCAGCAGCCCTCGAAAGTGGCGACAGTTTCGCAGATCGCAGCCCCCCGGGGACGGCGAGGTCCCGCTCAGATTTGCGCAGTGCCTCACTCCGCTGGACCCGCCAGCAGTCTTCGAAGGTGGCGACAGTTCCGCAGATCGCCATGCTGGCCCCCAAAGCACCCCTCGAAAGTTGCGACGGTCTCGCAGATCGCAGCCCCCAAAGGACGGCGAAGTCCCGCTCAGAGCTGCGCGGTGCCTCACTCCGCTGGACCCACCAGCAGCCCTCGAAAGTGGCGACAGTTTCGCAGATCGCAGCCCCCCAGGGACGGCGAGGTCTCGCTCAGATTTGCGCGGTGCCTCACTCCGCAGGACCCACCAGCAGTCTTCGAACGTGGCGACCGTTTCGCAGATCGCAGCCCCCCAGGGACGGCGAGGTCCCGCTCAGATCTGCGCGGTGCCTCACTCCGCAGGACCCACTAGCAGCCCTCGAAAGAGGCGACAGTTTCGCAGATCGCAGCCCCCCAGGGACGGCGAGGTCTCGCTCAGATCTGCGCGGTGCCTCACTCCGCAGGACCCACCAGCAGCCTTCGAAAGAGGCGACAGTTTCGCAGATCGCAAACCCCCCAGGGACAATCGATGTCCCGCTCAGATGTTGCGCGGTTTCCTCCTACCTCCGCGGAACCACAGCAGCCTTCGAAAGTGGCGACAGTTTCGCAGAATCGCCAGGCCCCCCAGGACGGCGAGGTCTCCCTCAGTCTGCGCTGTGCCTCACTCCGCGGACCGCACCAGCATCCTTCGAAAGTGGCGGACAGTTTCGCTGATGCAGCCCCCCCAGGGAGCGAGGATCGCTTCAGAATCTGCGCGGTGCCATCACTCTGCAGACCCACCAGGCAGCCCTCGAAAGCGGCGACATTTTTCGCAGATGCCCCCGCGTGACGGCGAGGTCTACCTCATATTCTGCGCGGGGCCTATGCAGCGCAAGACCCCCTCATCCCGCGAAAGTGGCACAGTTTCGTCAGATCGCAGCCCCCCAGGGACGGCGAGGTCTCCGCTCAGATCTGCGCGGTGCCTACACTCGGGCGTACCACCAGCAGCCTTCGAAAGTGGCGACAGTTTCGCAGATCGCAGCCCTCCCAGGGACGGCGAGGTCCCGTTCAGCTCTGCGCGGTGCCTCATCACTCCGCAGGACCCACCAGCAGCCCTCGAAAGAGGCGACAGTTTCGCAGATCGCAGCCCCCCAGGGACGGCGAGGTCCCGCTCAGATCTGCGCGGTGCCTCACTCCGCAGGACCCACCAGCAGCCTTCGAAAGTGGCGACAGTTTCGCAGATCGCAGCCCCCCCAGGGACGGCGAGGTCTCGCTCAGATCTGCGCGGTGCCTCACTCTGCACGACCCCCCAGCAGCCCTCGAAAGCGGCGACAGTTTCGCAGATCGCAGCCCTCCAGGGACGGCGAGGTCTCGCTCAGATCTGCGCGGTGCCTCACTCCGCAGGACTCAGCAGCAGCCCTCGAAAGTGGCGACAGTGTCGCAGATCGCAGCCCCCATCGTCGGCGAAGAGAGGCAGGAGGAGGCGGGAGGCGGGAGGAGGAGGTGGAGGAGGATGAGGAGGGACGCGACCACAGTGCTCTATTCAAAACGAATACCTAACCAAGGAGGGTTGGGAAAAAGGAATTCCCAGAATTCCCCTTTCTTTCAAAGTGGACTCCGACTCGGAGATCCCCCACATCCCCTGACATCTGGCCGGTACCGCGTCTCCCGGCTTCCGAGGGGGCCCCCAAGACGCCCAAGGACAACCCAAGATGACCCCAAGGATCCCCCAGAACGCAAAGAACGGCCCAACACGCTCCCGCGCAGCCTGAGACACCCTTCCGACGGCTCTCCAGGCCTCCAGGAGGCCTCCAGAACCCCCAGGGGGTCCGGAAGCCACACCCCTGAGGGGCCCGGCTAACAAAACCCGCTAGGCACAAACAAAAAACAGCGCCGAACAGCGCCGAGGAACTAGAAAAAATGGGCATCCCACAATTCCTGATTTTTTTTTTTCAAGTTTGGCCCTCGGTCTACTCTTGCACAACAGACCACAATCCAGACCCCCTCACCTCCCCCAAAAAACCCAGGAAGCCTTTCAGGGCCTCAAATCGTTGAATATTTAAAGGAAATCAATAAATGATTTCTGCGTTTCCGTATTTCCCCTTCTATACGATTCCGAGGCTTGCGCAGGGCCTCCAAGGGAGCCCCTGGACGTAGGAAGCTACCAAAATGAGATTACATGAGTTGGCCGATCAAGCCTAGCTACGACTGGGGGCTCGGGACCGCGACCTCGAGCGCGCATGGGGGTACCGAGGCCTCTGGGGCGCCCCTGGGACGGCTCTCGAGGGCGCCAGAGGCCGCCAAACAGATCAAGAGGGCGGACGAGCTTCGAAATGTAGCTTGAAGACGCCGACGATGGCTCCAAGAGGGCTCCTGGGAACCCCCGAGACAGCCCAAGAGGGCCGCAAGAGTCCTCCCAAGAGGGCCCCAAGATGCAAAAATGGCCCCGTCCCCGTCGGAAAACGTTTTTTTTTTTTTTTTGTTTTAAGGATTCCCCTCTTGCCCTTCCAGGGGAACGAAGACGGCCCGAGAGGCCGCCAGGATCGCCCCAAGACAGCCCAAGAGGGTTCCAAGACAGCCCAGAAGGGCCCCTGGCTAGCCCAAGAGGTCCCCAAGACGGCCCAAGAGAGACCCAGGACGGCCCCAAGCAGGGGCCCAGAGAGGATGCCCTACGAACATTTCAAGCCCTCCGCCCCCAGAGGTCCCAAGGAGGCCCCAAAAGGCCCCCCAAACGCCCCAGACGAACCTGGCTTCCCAGAGTTTCCGGAGGCTTCTCCAGCTCAGATCCACGCGGGGGGGAGGGAGAAGGAAGAGGAGTAAGAGAGGAGGAGCAGTGGGAAGGAGGGAAGATGCAGAAAAGATCAGGACGAGGAGGAAGAAGAGGGAAGGCTGAGCAGGAAAGGTGCGCAGAAGGACGAGGGGAGGAAGGGCGAGGAAACGAGCATAGGCGAAGAGAAATGAACACTGAATAACGAGGATGTGAGAGGAAGCAGTGGGATTCCCAATTCGGCCAAGAGGCCCCCAAGAGGGGCCCAAGAGAGCTCCAAGACGGCCCAAGAGGGCCCCAAGAAGCCCCAAGACGGCCCAAGTGGGCTCCAAGAGAGCCCTAAAAGGCTCCCAAGACAGCGCCAAGGGGCCCAGAAGACGCCCCCAGGAGAGCCCCGGAGGGGTCGTGGTGGTGATGGCTGCAGTTGGCTTCAGTTCGTGCGCCGATTGTGGTCCTACCGACGATTAGGATGGTCGTGGAGGTGGCACTTGCCGTGGTGGTAATGATAGTGGTCGTGGATTCGCGGCAGTGGCAGTGGCAATGGTAGTGGTATTGGTGGCGGTACAGGCAGAGGTTGAACCAATGGCCGTTATAGTGGTCGTGGACAGTGCAATCGTTGTGGATGGGGTGGTCATGCCTAGAATGGACATGGAATCAGAAATGGTCGTGACCGCGGTGATGGCGGAAAGGGCGGTGGTAGCCGTGGCGGCATTGGCGGTGTTGAGCGTGGTCGCGGAGTGACTAGAACCTAAGCGCGCGCGAAGCGCGCGCGTGGTTCTAGTATATATATATGTATATAGATAGATCCATAAATAATGATCCCAGTGCGACCCTACCTAGGAAATTAAGCATTTATGATAGCAACATCTACATCTACACCGACAGCTACATTTACATCTACATCTGCATCTACATCTACATCAACATCAACAGCGAGACTCACATCTACATATACACCTACATCTACACCTACATCTACATCTACATATACATCTACATCTACATCTACATATATATACATCTAAATATACATCTACATCTACATCTACACCTACATCTACATCTACGCCTACATCCACATCTACACCTACATCTACACCTACATCTACACTATACTATGCTGCGTTATGCTCTGTTATGCTATGCCAGGGTACGCTCGGCTGCGCAGTGGTATGCTAGGCTATGCTATGCTATGTTATGTTGCGCTATGATATGCTATGTTATGCGATGCTGCGCTAAGCTATGCTATGATATGATATGCTATGCCGCGCTATGATATGCTATGTTATGCTAGGCTATGCTATCATATGATATGCTGCGACATGGTATACTATGCTACGCTATGATATGCTATGTTGCGCGGTGCCATGCTATGCTATGCTGCGTTATGCTGTGTTGTGCTGTGATGTGCTGCGCTGTGCTGTGCTAAGCAATGCTATGATATGGTATGCTATGATATGATATGCCGCACTGTGCTACGCTATGCTATGCTACGCTACGCTATGCTATGCTATGCTATTCTATGGTTGGCTATGCTATGCTTTGCTGTGCGAATGCTGCGCTGCGCTATTAAGCTAAGGTAAGCTAAGCTATGATAAGCTAAGCACAGCTAAGCTAGGCCAAGCTAGGCTAAGCTAAGCCAAGCTAAGCTAAGCTAAGATGAGATATGCTAAGCTAAGCTAAGCTAGACTAAGTGAAGCTAAGCTAAGTTAAGCTAAGCTAAGATAGGCTAGGCAAAGTTAAGCTAAGCTAAGCTAAGCTAGGCTAAGCTAAATTAAGATGGGCTAAGCTAAGCTAAGCTTAGCTGAGCTAAACTGGGTGAACCCAGGGGGCGTAACTGGGGGAACCGCGGGGCGGATCCTTGGGGAACCGCCTGGGGCGATTTACACTGCCCAGCCCCTTAAGCACACACGGTAAGAACCCTCTAGGCAGAGCCTAGGTAGGGAAAAACCAGTGCACATGTAGGTATTCATGCATGTGTAGGTGTGTAGGTCCTCAGTTGCATTTGCGCATACATCTTGCACACACACAAACACATACTAACTCATACACATACACATTATATATGTATAAATGCGTATACGTATTTCTCTCTCTCTCTCTCTCGCTCTCTCTCTCTCTCTCTCTCTCTCTCTCTCTCTCCCCCCGTGTACGAGGCCCGGGCCACGGGGGGCATGCGAGACCCATGGCTTCCCAGACCGCTCCCAGAGCACCCTGGAGCGGTCCTGGAGCTCCCAGACTGCCCCAGAGAGCTCCCAGAAACCCTCGGGGACTTCGACAAGCCCTTCCAAGACAGTCCCGATAGCCCCAACGTGGCCCAAGATGGGTTCGAGACCGCAAATACACACCCCAAGAGGCTTCCAAGAGGCCCCAATCCGTAATCATTCTGGCCCAAGTCATTTGGCTCAAGCCATTTCGAGCCAAGCCACCTTTGATCAGGGCTACAGATTGGCTTCTGAGCTAATTTTCTATATCCCGCGTTTCCTCTCCGCGCTTCTCTCTTCGCGCAACCATGGCCTTCATGGCGAGAGCTCTGTCGCTCGCGGGCCTGTTGACCACCGTCAAAGCCGTGGAGTACCAAGAGGTCACGTCAGTAGATGGAGTCAATCCTACATGCGCGGAGATGGCTACAGCCGGCGAGTGGCGAAATCCGACGGAGGCCCAGTGCCAGCATTATGCCGAGGTGGAGGTTCCGGGTGGCTCGTTTGGAGGAACAGCTCCAAACGGTGCACCATGCGGGTGCAGCACCCTTGACCCCAGTGGCAGCAACAATCCTTTCTACTACGCGCCATGTGTAGAGGGAGCACCGACGACAAGCGTCGAATTTCACAACATCTGCGTCAAGACCGTCCTTTGCAAGTCCACGACCTGCTCCGAGAGGTTCCTGTATTGGTGCCAGCAGACCACTGTGGGCTTCGGCTCCAACGACAACGAGGGGCCCGCGAGCTCTCCGACGGACATCCTCGTTGCCGAGTGCGAACAATGCAGAGGCGCCGCCAACACGGACACTTGCCCAACGAAGGTGGTTCGCTTGTACGATGCCGCTCCGGAGGCGGAGCCGACCTCGGAGCTCGACAAGAACTCCGTTGCGGTGTCAGTGCCGCTCGGATTGGTGTTCGCTCTCGCCGCTATGGGTGGGGTCATCGGCGTCTCCCGACGCCGCGCGTCCAACCAGCCAGTGCTCGTGGAGGACGAGCAAGATCTGCTGCGCGAGTGAACGAGTACGCCTGAGGCAGCAGCTCAGGCCTATCAGGACCAGAGGACACAGAGCTCGCCGAGTCATGCATGCTTTTTGAGATGCCTCCCCGTCTGACGTTCGCAATCGCTTTGCGCCAGTTCAGCGATCAAAGTTGCGTACCCCTCTCTCTCTCTCTCTCTCTCCCTCGCGCTCTCTCTTACGACAAATCCCTACATCCTGCTTACCTCCCTCCTCCCGACGTGGGAAGCGGTGCTCTGGCGCCGCTCGGATCGCAGTAAGGAGACCGACCTTCTGCAGGCCCACGGGAACTTGAGGCTCTTTTTCACTTGAGTTTGAAGTTTTGCAAGTCGCGATAGGCCTCGCTCCATGTTTCATGTCAGCCACAAAAAAGAAGAGGCCTCCAAGATGTCTCAAGAGAGCTTCGACAAGCACCCCGAGAGAGCCCGAAGAGGCCCAAATCATTGATTTTCATAGTTTTCTTGATGCTTTTCGGGTTCTCGCGTTTTCGACCCTCCGACGCTCCAAGACGGCCGACGACGCCCCCAAGACCGCCCCAAGACCGCCGAAGAGGTGTGCCCGAAACCATGATTCGGTGCCGTGCGCGGGTGGAGGACAGCCAGTTTTCAAACGAGGGCTAGCGCTGACCTATTCCGTGGATTTTCTGACCTTGCCTCTTTCATGGCGGGAGGGGTCTCAGGTAGAGCCTCAACAGAACGGGCTCTCGCCTGGACTCCTCTTCCTCCTCCCCTCCGCCCCTCCTCCCCTCCTCCCCTCCTCCCCCCTGCTCCCCTTCCTCTTCTCCTCCCCTCCCCCCCTCCTCCCCTCCTCCCCTCCTCCCCTCCTCCTCCCCTCCTCCTCCCTCCTCCCCTCGGCCCTCTCCTCTCCTCGCTCCTCCTCGCTCCTCCTCGCTCCTCCTCGCTCCTCCTCGCTCCTCCTCGCTCCTCCTCGCTCCTCCTCGCTCCTCCTCGCTCCTCGCTCCTCCGCGGCCCTGCCGCCCGTGGACTCCGCGGGGGGCCAGACGGCACTCCGTGCGGCGGCGCTCGCCAAAAGTGCCCCCAAAAGATCACAAAAAATAGTCAAAACATTGTCCCAAGAGGGGGTTTTCGACGAAACATTAAAAATACTCCCAAACTACCCCAAGAGGGTAAAACATACTCATCAAATAGTCCCCAGACTATTTTTGGAGCATGTTTTGATTATTTTTGGTGTATTTTATATTTTTGTCCCGGAAAGGGCCTGGGCCCAGTGTTCTCTTTTAGTGGGTTTACCCCCCGGTTTTTACTTGAAGGGGGCCGGCTGATTTCTTGTGCGATTAATTACGAGGTCGAAGGGGGCCGGCGGATTTCAATTGTGAGGACGAAGGCCATTTTTCGCTACCTCTCACGCAGATCGCGCTCTTGGAATTTTACTGCCTTTAAGGAAACCTCGATATTTCACAGGTGAAGTCAATTTTTTTCCGACATCGACTTTAAACGATAAAAAACAAGGTAAACGCGTTCGCTCGATAAATAACGAGGTGCCGCGGCCTCCGGAACGGCGCTGGGAACGGAGTTGTAGATTCTTGAAGTTGCATAAGTTCGGAAATAGCAGAAATCCCATATGTTTTTGGACCCTGACCCCGCGGATCTGCGTGAGGGGTGGCACCGAATTTCAGAAATGTGGCAAATCCCCTGTGTTTTTGGACCCTGACCCCGCCGATCTGCGTGAGGGGTGGCGCGGAATTCCAGAAATGTGGCAAATCCCCTATGTTTTTGGACCCTGACCCCGCCGATCTGCGTGAGGGGTGGCACGGAATTCCAGAAATGTGGCAAATCCCCTGTGTTTTCGGATCCTGACCCCGCCGACCTGCGTGAGGGGTGGCACCGAATTTCAGAAATGTGGCAAGTCCCATGTGTTTTCGGACCTTGACTTCGCCCAGGAGGGCCCAGGAGGCTCCAGGAGAGCCCAGGAGAGCCCAGGAGGGCCCAGGAGAGCCCAGGAGGGCCCAGGAGGACCCAGGAGGCTCCAAGAGGCACCAGGGGGCCCAAGGAGGGCCCAGGAGAAGCTCCAGGAGGCTCCAGGAGAGCCCAGGAGGGCCCAAGAGGTCCAGGAATTCCGATGATGTTTCGCGCGTGCGGCGTACCGCGCGCAGGAATTTCGAGGATGTCTCAACCAATTCGTTTGTTTTGCGGGATGTCTTTAAATTTTGGCAGGATGTCTCGAGCGAAATGCTTGTCTTTCATAATTTGTTGAAGACGTTTCGAGCGAAACGCTGGTTTTGCAAAATGTTCATAATTTGTTGAGGACGTCTCGAGCGAAACACTGGTTTTGCAAACTTGGGGGATGTCTCGAGCGGGGGCCTCGTAGGGGGCCAGAATTCAGAGGATGTCTAAGGCAAAATGCTTGTTTTCATGTCCCGCTCGCAGGAATTCCGAGGATGTCTCGCGCGTGCCGCGTCCCGCGCGCAGGAATTTCGAGGATGTCTTGACTACTTCGTTTGTTTTGCCAGGATTTCCTTGGATTTTGACTGGATGTCTCGAGCGAAACGCTTTTCCCCAGCACGTTCCGTAGCGCGTCCCCTTGGCACGTCCCGCGGTACGACCCCATGGCACGTCCCCTGGCACGTCGCCTGGCGCATCCCTTTGGACGTTTCGCGGCGTGTCCTCCTTGCATGTTCCCTTGTCAATTAGCTCTGGGGCAGCTACTATGTGTTCAGGCAGCTCGAGCTTAAGATCCAGATAAGTTCGGTCAGGACTCGGATGCACAGGATGACTCGATCCACGAGGCTATAGAGCAAAATCGCGCCATGGCACATCGCAATTCAGCACGGTGCAGCACAGCACAGCCCTCGGCAGGGTACATCAAGATTGATACCTTCAGAATTGCATTTGCCCGTCACCCAACCAGATGTCTTTGAAAACGCTGCCATGCGTTACAGTTCTATATTCCTTTCCGGGTTCGTGGGTCGATCATGTTCGTCGAAAATCTTTCTGCAGGGGGACAGGCCCGACTTAGGACTAGGGGGGGGGTGGATATCGTGGCGGGGGCCATGACATTTCCCCAGGTTTCGTGGCGCCTCTTCTTATTTCATTGCGTCCCTGGCCCCCCCGCTGGGCCGCGCATATGCCGCCGGTTATGATTTGCATCCCCCCCTCTTGGACCCCTCCCTCTTGGCCGCTCCCGGTACCTGTGGGTTGCTAAAGCTGAAATCGGCTATGTTGAGAAAATGACTGTACTGAAGCGCGCGCTTGTGCCGTTGGAAGATCCACCATCTCGTTCTGCAAGCGAATGTGGTTTTCAATGGGCTTCCGTTTAAAATAAGTCTTGTTTAAAAAAGATAAATAAAACATATGTTTTTTATTATTATATATATAATGAAAATGTATGTTTATCATTGTTAATGTTTTTTTCTTTCTGTTTTTTCATATTTTTTATAACTAACACAATTTTTTCCCGGAAAGGGCTCGAGCCCAGGGTTCTCTTTTAGTTGGTTTACCCCCGGTTTTGACGGCTGTAGGGCCGGCGAAATTATTCTGCGATAAATAACGAGGTCGCGTAGGGCCGGCGAATTAAAATTTGAGGATGTCTCGAGCGAAACGCTTGTTTTTTCAGAATTGGTCGAGGATGTCTCGAGCGAAACGCTTGTTTTGTGTTATAGATTGTCCTCTCCTGGGGACCTCAATTCTGAGGATCTCTCAAGTGGATTGCTTGTTTTCACGTGCCCAGGTCTTGAGGATGTCTCGAGCGAGACGCCTCCAGGTGGCCCAGACAGATGTCTAGCATGAGGATTTGTTGAGGATGTCTCGAATCAGAGGCTTGTTTTCACGTGCCCAGGCTACGGAACGTTGCAGCTCCCTTTTCTTTTCAGCGTTCTGGGAGGCTCTGTGGGGCTGGCGCTCTCTTGGCGCAGCCCCTTTTTTTCCCCCTCCTCTTCCCCTTCCTCTTCCCCCTCCTCCCTCCCTCGCTTTCGGTCCTCCTCTCTTCGACGGCGAGCGAGGGGGGGAAGCGAGAAGGGGCGGGCCTTCTCAGAAGGCTCGGACGTCCCCCGGCCTTGCTGAGAAGTGTTCTAGGCCTTCCCCGAAGAGACAAGAAACATTCTCAGAAGGCGCGAGGGCTTCTGAGAAGTCCCGCCGCCTTCTGAGAAGGCCTTGTCCTTTTCACTTCCCCCCTCGCTCGCCGCCAATCTTCTGCTTCAGCCTCCTGGTCAGCCATCCATCCTCCTGCCTCCCGCCCTCCCCATCCTCGGCGGCGCTGGGCGCTGGCGGCAGACCGCCTGCCATGGCTGCCGCCGGGAGGCTCGAGTTCTCTCGGGCCTCCGGCTGCCCTCGAGGGATGCGCCCTGCGCGTCTGCATCCGGGCGTGTGCCTCCCTCCCTCCGTCAGCGGCTCCGTCACGGGTACTCACTCACGGGCGTTTTTGTGGGAGCATTGCCGAAGGTTACCAATTTGGGGCGTCTGTCTGGCATTGCAGCCTTGCCCGCATCGGGGAGGGTGGGTTCGCCGGGTCCCTGGCCACTGCGCCCGTCAGAGGGGTTCCCGTTCAGAGGGGCGCGGACCCTCCGCGGGGAGGGACGGCGGCGGAGGCATCGGCTCGGACGAGCGGTGGCACGAGCCTGCCCCGCGCGGGCGCCATCATATGGCTCAGGGCGCCTGCCTCGCCTCGACGTCGCCCTGGCCGTCTCCTCCTCCTCCTCCTCATCCTCCTCCTCCTCCTCCTCCTCCTCCTCCTCCTCCTCCTCCTCCTCCTCCCCCTCCTATTCCTTCTCCTCCTCCTCCTCCTCCTCCTCCTCCTTCCTCCTCCTCCTCCTCCGCCTCTCCTCCTCCTCCTCCTCCTCCTCCTCCCCCCCACACTCAAACAATATGAATACTACTCTACTCTCTCCCCTGGTGGCGTCCGGGAAGTGGCCGGCCCCCCTCCGCGTACTGTTTTTTTACAGGATTTCCCGGAGACGTGTTTTCGCTGTTTTTTTCAAATGCTGCTCTCGCTGAAGTGCTGGCCTTATGTTCGGGCTACCGCTTGTTCCGGAATCGTGCTCCCGCTGCAGCGCTGGTGTGATTATTTCCAGCGCCATGCCACGGCGTGGTTTCCGATCTTTCCAAACAGGCCCCAAAATCTAGAAAACGCCCCCCGAACAAACCATCGGAAGTGATACCACAATGTGGTATCACTTCCGATCACTCCCGGAAACGATCCTACAATGTGGTATCACCAGTGATACCACAATGTGACATTCGGTGTCGATTCGTTAATTTCTTGTGCCGCAGAAGCCCCCCCCCATTTGGGGGCGTCGCCACGCCGTGCTATGTCAGACTACGCGTCTTCATTCCACTTCCGCGCTTGGATTTTTCAAATGCTGCTCTCGCTGAAGCGCTGGCCTCATTTTCGGGCTACCGCTCATTCCGAATCGTGTTCCCGCTGCAGCGCTGGCCTCATTTCCGCGC